AAAAAAAAAGACAGAGACATACCTTTCATTTCACACATTTCCATTCGAAGAGCTGGACGAGTAACCCCATCTCCACCGCGATGGCAAAGATCAGTTATTTTTGATATGAGATCCTTTTATAATTAACTGACTAGATCAGAAACAGTAAAATAGAGTTTTCAATCTTACTTCATTTGCTGCATGATCTTCAGCTAATTTCATAAGTGCCGCGCTCGACTGAGTACGGCATTGTTTACTGAACACGGTACCAGTTGTTTCATCTACACCCATGCCTGCGAATCAAAGTTGCACCTACATCACTAACGTTAAAAGTTAGCAGGTACAACTAACCAACAAAAAGAAGCCCTTTTTTGCTGAGATTTGGAACCAAACGCGGGTTTACTTCGTAGCGATGTCTGTGACGTTCTTCAATCTCATCGCGACCATACAACTTCCCTTCAATATGAGAAAATGTTGAAGCAATCAAAAAAGAGATTCAGTTCTAACTTAGTTTGCAATTTTCGGTGAGAAAAACGCTAGTACGACGGCCAAGCCTCATCGTTCCTCCCATTCCACGATGTTCCACATTGTGCTCAGGCATATCAATTATTACCTAGAAAAGGATTCTAAGTAAAGCAAAGAATATATCGTACAACAGAAGGGTTGATAAAAAGCTATAGCGATGACTAAAGAAGTTTCTAAAGTTGGTATGCAGATGCAAAGAGCGCGAGCGATAGTTACATGGGTAGCTCGTTTTAAGAACCTTATCTCAATCTTTACATCCATAGTTTCTGACCAAAGATTCTTTTCTGGATAGAGTTTAAGAGACATATATGAAGCCATATTTCCCCGGAAAAGCTCAAAATAGCCTTCTTCCCGGGGACAATTGCTCTGACATTCTTTCTCGACTTCTTAGAAAAATCTCAAGACTTCTGCAGTCACCTGTTCGTCTTCCATCAAATTCTTGTTGAATTCGGTGGAATTCGCATTTTCGATACCAAGGAGATTTCTAGCCACTTCTATAGCAGCGCATTGCATACCAAGACAGACACCTAAAAGTGATATTAGTTTCCCTTCTTAGGAGAAAAAAAAAACCACAAAGCTTTTACCTAAGAAAGGAACATTATTCTCTCTTGCGTATCGGCAGGCCTTGATCATTCCTTCAACACCACGTTTGTCAAAACCACCGGGGACAATGATGCCACTGCAAAACAGTTACTGACTGCTATGCGGTGGAAGTATGCTAGAAATAGTGCTAACTCTGCATTTTTCACTGCGTCCCATGCAGCGTCAACTTTCTCCTTTAACTCTGATGGTTTGCCATCTTCCAGTAGTTCAGAATCCACATACTGAAGCAATGCTGCGTAGCACGATATGATACGAAACAAAATGATAAACACCTTGATTTTGATAGCTCGTTTACTGTGAATAGCAGCATGAGTGAGCGCTTTATTTACAGAAGCATAAGCATCATTGATCTTCACGTATTTCCCAACTAAAGCAATTACAACCTCCTCCGTGAACGAGTCACATCTGAAATAGTTCGCAATATGTATGGGTTTTTTAAAAAAATTCGGTAATTTTGTTGTAATTCAGGCAAATACTCTATACACATTTAGAGGCTGGCATATTAAACGAGTTCTAAGGATGCGAAATTGTAAAATTCGTTTCATAAGCTCTAACACAAAAAAAACTCTTCAAATCGCTGAATGCAGTAGGAGCTGATAACTAATGGTATCTCCATAGTTCGTAAGGTCGGCCGACCCTTGAATTATTAGCGCAATAAGAATCGGCCGATCGAGGGTGAGCGGCGGTGAGTTGCGGCCCCTGTTAAGTACCGATTTGGCGCAATTCGGCTCTATCGCAGCCCTTCCGCACTTTTTCCTCTGACTTTGACCTGCTTTCTCTCTTTTGTGTTAGAGCTCTTAAAAGTCGTCGCGTGCCGGAAAGACTAGTCCGAACGCCAGGAGATGGTATATGACTGCGATGCAGCAAGGCAACCGCCGCGCCTCGATCGGCCGATTCTTATAACGCTTATAAGCGTTATAAGGGTCAGCCGATCTGAATCGGCCGATCATTATGAAGTATGGAGATACCCTAACAATGTTTTAGCCACAAATTTTTTTTGAAGCGCAGTTAGTCAACCAGCGTTGGCCAGGTTTCAAATCGAAATTATCATATAGGACTTGATTGCGAAAAGGCCTACAATGTCGTGCGCCCTGTTTGCGACAGGGTGTACCCCATTCGAAAAGACTATATATGTTATTATAAATTTATATTTATTAAAATATAAGATGGTCGATTTATATGAAAGAAAACTGAAGACTACCAAGTAAGAATAAAACTCCTCTCTAAGTTCTTGAAACTTACAGCTCACTGAGATGTGTCCAATGGCACATATTGAATTTAAGGTTTCGTCGCACTGCATCATTTATTGGCTTCAAATGTAATCGATGTATGATCGCATCGAGTACATGTTGCTCTTGCAGCAACAATGGCACTTTGTAGATGTTTGAAACATCATGTACTCCGATAACCTGAAGTTCAATAAGATTAAGTTGAAGTAAGCATGACGATCACAGAACGCGTGCAATTTCAACCTGTTCAATGTCTACAAGCCCGAAAGCAGCAATTTTCTCGCGAAGGTGCTCTTGCAGAGGGTCGCTCGATCGACAGATCAAAAGATCGGGAACAAGTCCTGCAGCGCGCAAATGTCGAACCTAAACATAACGTTAGGCTACATGATAAGGAAGCATTAGAAGGAGAAAGACGCACGGAGTTTTGCATTGGCTTTGTCTTCGGCTCGCCAGTAGCATTCGGGTGCATCACAAGTGAAACGTGTACGTTCATTAAATGATTCTAAAAATTATATAAGAACGATCATTAAGAACTGCTCGAGAAAATGTTCTCACCCGAAGAGCTGGCCTTTGAAACCTCTCAAATGCAGCTAGATATGACATTCCTTCAATATCACCAATCGTTCCTCCAAGCTAAAAGGATAAATCTAGAAAACGCACTCTTGAAAATGTACGTGTTTGTATAAATTGCAGCTGAGACATACGTGCTGGGGGAAAGTGGACCAAGCTTCCCCCTCCTTCATATTATAATGACACGTTCCTACCCCATCTGACCAACGAAAAATGATCTATTTGAGGGAAAATAAGAAAAATATTTGGGATTTTATGCGGAATACAAGATCTGATGTTCTCCTTTCGGAGCTATTTATGTAA